GTTACCATTGTGAAAACGTCACCGGCTGATAATGTTGTATGCCGGAACTGCCACACCGCCGGTCATCGCCATAAGAACTGTCCCGCATACTACTGCAGGGTTTGTCACGAATACGCACCCGGCCATTTGTCGGTCTTTTGTAGAGACCTAAAAGGAGAAGCGGTCATTCCATTGGTATGGACTGACGTCGGTTTTTACGACGCGCTTGCTCGATGGGAGATTGAGCAGGACGCCATCGCTCACGCCGAGCAGATGGCACAACCTACCACCATCACGGAGGAAGAAGACGACCTTCTCTACTCCAATTACGACGCTGACCCCATCTACTGGGCTAATCAGGATATGTGAAGTCGGCGACTTCATCGCTAAACGAGGGGTAATGTTACAGTAACGGTTGCCCCCTATCATTTTCTTTGTTATCACTCTTTGTATTACGTCATGACCGCACTTCACCGTGCCATCACTAGGCTATTCCTTTTCTCCGCTTACGCATGTATCACAGCGCGACCGCCTCGTGCCATCGTTAGCTGACGTCACTTCCCTTATCTCTGACTCGTCTCGATGACGTCATTTCTCTTATCTTTGACTCGTCTCGATGACGTCATTTCTCTTATCTCTGACTCGTCTCGATGACGTGTACGTACCGGCCCTAAAGCAGGCCTTACCTATATAAGCAGGTCTTGTACTTAGATATTCCTTACTTTAATCTACTAGGTTTTACCCAGAACATCCTTCGCTTAAGATCCCCAATCTTAAGTGTCTGATACCGATATTCAAGTCAGAGACACCCTCTCTAACTTGTCTTAAAGACCCTTACATTTGTAAGGTTACGATCCGGCTTTAGACGTCACTCTTATCGAGTGTCTATTGTCGCGCCTATCCTAGTCGACCTACGGTTTACCGTAACAGGTACAGTGGCTCAAAAAACTGTCCACATGTTTTTGCATTTTTTACTATTTACAATATTGTGTGAGAATACATAAAGACCTCAGTGACATGCTAATACCATATTGTAGTGCTGCTTCAGGGCTTTGGATTGAGCACCACATTGTGAGAATCAGAGGAGATATGGTGGAGATACAAGGCTTACAAAACCATGACTCATGCGGACAGTTTTTTGAGCACATATTAAAACTATATAAATCATCATTTATGACACCATAACAATTATGCCACCATTAAATAAATTATAAAGTGGTGTCATTATGTCATTTTAAAACCATATCTAACTATACAAACCAAAAATTTCCATATGTCATGGTTATATTCACTATGAAAGCCACCCCCCCTGCTCAAAGGGATAATATCCTCTCTCTTTCCTATTCTGGCCTCTCTGCTTGTCAAATTTCCTCTAGAACTGGAGTATCCAAGTCCACTGTGGCCAAGTTCATCAAAGAAAGTCACACAGACAAGGAAAACTTCTGTGAAGGGTGTCCATCCAAGCTCACCTCTACTGATAGGAGGGCTATTATTCAACATATCACTACAGGAAAGGCTGATAATGCTGTCCAGGTCACCTATTACATCAATTCCACCATCACATTCCCTGTCTCTTCACACACTGTGAGAAACATTCTCAAGACAGCTCATCTCAGGTCAGTAACAAGGAAGAAAAGGCTCTCCTCTCTATCACACATATGCAGAGAGGACTAGCACCCTTCTTGTTTCACATATATACCTTGCCATCTGACCCAATCCTATTTATTGTGGTCTTATATGATCATATAACATGCTTCCAGTCCATGTAATCCAATTCTGATGGGCTAAGGCAAAGGTTAGTCATCTCTGCATATGTGTGATAGAGAGGAGAGCCTTTTCTTCCTTGTTACTGACCTGAGATGAGCTGTCTTGAGAATGTTTCTCACAGTGTGTGAAGAGACAGGGAATGTGATGGTGGAATTGATGTAATAGGTGACCTGGACAGCATTATCAGCCTTTCCTGTAGTGATATGTTGAATAATAGCCCTCCTATCAGTAGAGGTGAGCTTGGATGGACACCCTTCACAGAAGTTTTCCTTGTCTGTGTGACTTTCTTTGATGAACTTGGCCACAGTGGACTTGGATACTCCAGTTCTAGAGGAAATTTGACAAGCAGAGAGGCCAGAATAGGAAAGAGAGAGGATATTATCCCTTTGAGCAGGGGGGGTGGCTTTCATAGTGAATATAACCATGACATATGGAAATTTTTGGTTTGTATAGTTAGATATGGTTTTAAAATGACATAATGACACCACTTTATAATTTATTTAATGGTGGCATAATTGTTATGGTGTCATAAATGATGATTTATATAGTTTTAATATGTGCTCAAAAAACTGTCCGCATGAGTCATGGTTTTGTAAGCCTTGTATCTCCACCATATCTCCTCTGATTCTCACAATGTGGTGCTCAATCCAAAGCCCTGAAGCAGCACTACAATATGGTATTAGCATGTCACTGAGGTCTTTATGTATTCTCACACAATATTGTAAATAGTAAAAAATGCAAAAACATGTGGACAGTTTTTTGAGCCACTGTATATTGGCAAGGGTAACTCAAAGGACAGGTATGGGGTGACCAGTATCAGGGATTTCTCCCTCCTACTAAATGGTGATTGTAATTCTGGTTGCCCAACCCTATATAACTAGCTATGTGAAAGTCCAGAGTCCATAGGTGAAAGCAGTGGCAAAAACACGGGTCCGATAATATGTAGGTAAAAGGCCATGAGGTACTGCAGCCAGTGGGAATCCATGTAATAACACTGTCTACTCAATCAGTAATGAGAAATAACTGACTATGCACCAGTGGGGTTAAGCAGGATTGGACTGGACATGGTAGGGCAAGTGTGCAGGATCTCTGAGTGGGTCTGATGCATCGGAGATGCAGAGATGGTGGGAAAGCATCAGATATGGGTAGGAGATGTGCAGACTGGATGGGGATTGCAGAATGGGGTCCTAGCAGGCCAGCCTGAACATGATTGTCACAGTGGATTGGGCCTCCCAGCCACATAGGCACTCCATGTCAGGGTACATAGTACTCCTGAACAGAGGTCCAGTAGTGTGAAGTGCCAGGAAGCAACCACTGATAGCCCTATCCATGGCAGAGGTAGAATATATTGCCCTGACCAGTATCATTAGAGAGCTACTCTACCTGTGGCTCCTCCTTGAGGAACTATACAAACATACCTTAGACCCAGTCCCCATCTACTGCAATAACCAAGCTGTGATAGCCCTTGCATTGAATGGCAAGTTCCAATCCAGAACCAAACACATCGACCTGCACTATCATTTTGTAAGGTCACATGTCAAGAATGGCACCTTTAAGCTCTTTTACTGCCCCACTGACAACAACATCACTGACGCCTTCACCAAAGCCCTTGCTTGCCCCTGCCTTCAGAAACTCAGGACTCAGATGAGCCTGGCTTGCACTTGAGGGGGAGTGTTGAACTCCAAGAGATCTGAGAGGACCAAGACTGAAGGATCTGAGATAGAGAAGGGAAGTGAGTGAGAGGTACAAGCACAAGCTGAAATGGACAGAGGTGAGTGACATATTGATGTCAGCTCATGCCCTACATTATTTTCTATGTTTCATTCTTATATCTGAGTCTTAACAGTACTCACCTTAAAAGTGTCAGTAGAAATGCCCTAACATCTCAGTTCTTTCAAGATACTGAGATGTAAGCCTTAAATATCATCACTCACATGCTACAAAGTCTAACAATAACATAGTGTACTTGTTGTATAGGTAGATGGGACCACCTCAGGCAGTACTTTTTGGGACTTATAAAGGGTTTAAGAGACCTGGTTTCTATGTTGTAAGAAACTAGTCTCCGAGACCCACCCTCCTGCCATCTAATTATAGTTCATGCTCTTGTATTCCTTTGTGGGCCTCCAGCACCTCCCTGCACCCCTCTACCATAGCCCTCTCAATATCCTAGTACTACTCAATCCACCATTTAATGCTCTCGCATTTCCAGGCACCTCCCTACCCACCCACTTCATGTTGTGATAGGCTAAGTACCATGAGGCACCATGCTGCATCCACAATGATTCCACATGGTCTCAGTATGCACATAATGTTAAATACAGTTTGAGTCTATGTACTAGCATTCTAACATTTGCCCATTCACCACTCCCCAGCAATAATGTGTCATGCAGACCAAGTGTCAGCACTAGCCTCCAGCTGGGGGCTTGGGAGGCATTCTGTCAGTCCCTGCAAGTCTTGAGACAAGAGAAAAACTCAAACCTTTGTCATTATCCCTGGCACAGATATCAAACACTGTGAACTTGCCCTATGCATGGAAGCACTTGTCAATGCAAGTTCAACAGAGCCAATCACTACCCCTGCACTCAATTCAACCAGTTCTAACATTGACATGACTATAGACCAATTAAACAATGGTGACGAATGGGTGTATGAATTGGATCATGCTAAACCAGAACTTCAACATCCACCCTTTCTGAATCAGTGCGACAAGACACAACCAATTGAGTCCCAACACCGTATCCTTCCTGACAAGACATCACACAAGCTCTATGGAAATTGGACAGGAGTTATCCCCACCTTAATTAAACCTCTTTTAACTTATCTTGCAAGAACTTTCAGACAACCACTTGAGAAGTCGCATCCTATCATATCCGCATGCGTTACTAGTTCATGTGCTCAAAAGTGCACAACCATCATTTACCTCTTCTTTGACTGTAAGTGTATCCAGGCTTCTTGTCATTGAGGGCCTAGCTTGACTTAACTTTAGGATTTGTCTCGACCAACATCCTGAGCTGCAATTGCTCCACACTCCCACAAGTCCTTATTTGCCATGGTTTATTCCCCACTGCACCCATGCAGCCAAGGATGGCAGTGTCTATAGAATTGCTTTCCTTTTATCGAGCACTGTTTGAACGTTCATGTGACGCAGTAAATGCACTCGCAGCTGCATTGAAAACTCATTATGCTCGCCAAGGGTTCCAATTAACAGACTCGCATGTAAGCATATGCTTCTGATGCTTGTGATAATGCTCACCATGAGTTACAGGGATATGCCATCCAGGAACCCTTCAGAAAGAGTCTTGGAAGTGCAGTTCAGTGGTATGATATCCTCCAGATCAAGGTGGAGCAAAAGATCGAAGGCGTAATTCAGCAAGCTCGTGACAAGATCTGTGCTGCTTATGAGCCCTCACCTCCCTATCTGTCAATGACCTCTCATAGCCCTCCAACAACCTCTCATGTCCCTCCAATGACCTCTCACAACCCTCCAACAACCTCTCATGACCCTCAAGCATCTCTCTTACACAGGGAGTGTTGCACATTGATTCTTGTTGAGCACTGTCCTGCTTGTTTTGCAGGAGTGATGTATGGCTGAGCACTTGATCAAGGAGGCAATATTCATGTCGCTACAGATGGAAACTTTCATCATCATCACCGGCACTCAGCTGGTGACTGCCCTCGCTTCTATGAACCATCATACTACTTACCAAAGATGTATGCTGATTTAGTTGGCTCTCAAATAGTCAAGAAATGGAAGTGCCCTGCTATGACATGGGCACCAAATCTCATACCTAATGAGGTCATCAACCAGTGTGAGAACTCATATGAAGCTGCTAATGGCAAAAAGCAGAAGCCTGCTATGGATAGTTTCGATGACACTGGTTTGATGGTGGTTATTTGCCGCCATGATATCCCCCTATTCTTTGCAAACATTGATATGCCTGGTGAGCAGCAGAAATATGCTGTCGCCTTATTAGAACATCTGTTCTTGCTTCTTCCTACCAACACAACAGTTGTTACTTTGTATGATGTTGGCTGTGTACTATCTTGTTCACTTTCACAGGTATGCTTTTCAATCATTCATTGTGTATTCGCCTAGTAACAACTTGCAGTATGACATTCTAGACACTTCTATTACTTCATGCCTCCACTTTGCAATGATGGCTATGCATGCCTATGGACACAAGTGGGGATGCCAGCTTATCTACAATCCCTGTATGTGCAGTGGACTCAGTTTATTGGATGGGGAAGGCACTGAGTGACTTTGGTCACAACTTGTGCATCTGATTGGTATTCAGCATTCATCATCAGTCAGTACATCTCCTTTTCACACAACTTCATGTATTCATTCTGGCATGCTTTAGTGTCAGTGATGTCTATGGCTTATAGACTGCCAGGCAGCTGCCATCGGAGCTGAAATGTGCGCAGACCTCAGTGATTGGGTCAAGCGACAAATTCATGACATTAAGACTCAAACAAATGCCACACAGGATGTCCTCACTACCTGTGGTGTCTCTATCAAAGATCTATGGTTGTTGTGGGCTGACCAACGACATTCACAACTATCTATTCGTGCTCATAAGTCATACATATTTGTGCTTTCATTATTTGCTGACTGGCTTCTTATCAGATGCTCCTGCACGTCTCAAAAAAGAACTGTATACAGTTCTTGCTTTACAGGCTGATATGGCCACTTCAGATCAGGCCTTGCAGACCACCTGCACCATGCTCAAAAGGGAGGCAGCATCAGATAACACCATGGTCACTCTTGATGGTTTAGAGAGGGGCCACCAATGTTTAATGGAGAAGGTAGAAGCACTCTATGCTTTATTCAACATTCAGGACAGGTTTCCAGAGCTTCAAGGTGTCAATCTGAATTTTGTCCATACCCTTCTGATGGCACATGACCTCAAGATCAATATATGCAAACATGCAATTGGTAGTTTTTTCGAGTGGGATAAACTGGACAGGGCAGTTGGTGGGGCTCAGCAAGCTTTGGGTAAGACCTAATCAAATCAATCATTTTACTTTCAAACTAATTCCAACATATCAGGCATGAAGCTTCATCAACAAACTCATAAAGCAATAGCAAAGAGACAACCAGCACTGATGACTGCTATTTGTAAGTTCAACTCTTATTGTGAGCACCTAGACAGCCTCTATGACCCTTCATGGGGGATACCACTTCCAATGGCACTTCCAACCAAACTTGCGGATTTGCACAATGACCAGACCCTAATGGAGGACATCTGGATTATGCCCTCTGCAGGAGACATACCACACTGGTTGAATGATTCGGACATGAGAGATGGAATCCGCACCCTCCTCAAACATGATCAATGTCAAGAGGAACAGCAGTGTCTCAGTATTGAAGCTGACAACCTGTGCTCTTATTTTGGAGATGAGCTCTCTGCTTTAGAGCTCACGCTTTCTTCTGATGCAAGTAAGTGATTCCAGTGCTTCATTCTGCCATTTTCTGACAATCTCAATAGACTAACTGTTGATATTCTTGCTCCAAACCCACTGAGACCACTTTCTTCAGCTACAATCACACTGGGTAAATCCATTTGCTTCTGTAGCTTGCTTTTCTAGTCATGCTAGAGAAGCTTCAGATGTCGTGAAGACACTTACAGGAGGTGCAACCAGCAAAGCTAACCTCAGTTTGATTAATGATGCATTAACACTGGAAATTGATCACCAAGACAATGACATCCCAGACTTCGAAGCAGGGCCATCAGATGTCGACGCACACTTATTGTAAATTTATTTGTTGTAAAGTCTCAGTCCTTACTAACTACATTTTTCCAGCTTGAACCTCAGCAGATGAATGGTTATGACTGTGGAGTTTGGGTGCTAGCTGAGATTATGGCAGTCTTACAAGGTTTTCATCTTACAGGATTGCAAGAGGATGATATGGAGAGCTTCTGACATTCATTATATCACCTCATTCTCAATCTCAACACACTGGAGATGGGAATTATTTAATGAATGTAGTAGTTAAGCAATGACTTTGTTCTGGGTAATTTTTATTTTAATGTCACCCTTTGTAGTCTGACAGCCTCTGGAGGCTCTGATAACCGAGAAAATGAGCCCCTCAAAAAAACTGCACATTTTAAACAGAAGTGTTAACTCATTACTACTGTAGGCATGTGTCCCAGAGACTTGATGCACATCAAACTGAAGTGAAAATGTCTGAATGTAGAGGGTGCCTGCCTTTTCATTAAGTCGGGAGGCACTACATGTTACCATTTCTGGAAAGCTCTGCTGCCAGTGTGGTGGCATACCTTCAAACTTCGAAGTTCAAATTTTCAAGCTTCCTCAAACTTACTAGAATTTTCCTCATTCCAAAGGTTTCTCTTGCACATGGTCTGCACATTATCAATTGATTGTTATCTAGAGCTGGTGCTACTTTCAAACACTGTCTAAGCACTACCTCCTGCAAGATGGCCATGACCAACAGCACATCAAATTCACCCTGCAGCCTCATTTATTCTGCCATGCTCACAGATTCACAATCTTTTTCTATTTCTCGGATTGTGAGTAGTTGTCTAATTGGATGTTCAAACATTACTGACCTGCTTCTAGCTTGTTGATGTAGCCATGTCAACAGAGGACACCCTACCCACTGAAGTCTCTGGAGGCTCCTGCCTCAGTGAAGAATGGAAGAACCTTGATGGGATACCTTGTATTATGGGTGGGATGAGGGCACTTACTGGTAAGATTAATCATGACACATTCATCCTATCTAAAAATCATTTCAGCATCACTTGGTGGGATGCTCCATGGGCGCACAAGTGCTGACTTCCCTTGGAAAACTCTCCCAAAGGAACTAGCTCGCCTCAGGTATGTCCTTACCAATTACCCTGACAATACCTTGATACCTGGCGAGCTGCGCCCTTCTCTCTCTTGCACCAAAGGCATCTACGATCTGAACCACCACCATTGCGTCAATCTCATCAACCACCTCAAGGCAGGCACCCTCACCATCTGAGCAGTGAAGAGCGATGCTGCTCATACATGTCTCACTACCTCAAAGGACCCTGTTATAATTGGAGAAGCCCCCTCAGCTTGCTCTTTGCACTCCCATGGGCAGCATGTATTTGCTGATAGTCGAATCGACAGAAAGGGTCTTCTTCATCTTAGTTTACCTTCTTCTTTACCTACTTCTTGTCATCACACCCAAGTTATTGTGGAAATCACACAACCACCTCCTTGTCCAGCTTCTTGAGCAGTTCCAAAACCATCTGCTGTGCATATCAGCGATCTTATCCAACACATCGCTTCTGTCAAGGGGAGACCATCCAGTTCTGAGGACAATGACATGACTGGCAGTGCAAATGATGAGGACAAGTCAGAGTTGCAATTTAGTGACAGTGAAAGTTGCCCTGCGAAGTGCCTTAGACATTGATCAAAGTCCATCCTATCATCAAACATAGATAGCAGATGTATGTAGGTCATACTTTGGGACTAACCTAATTCTGACATTGTGTTGTCTTGGGCACAAAGTAGATTTTCAGCCATGGATTAATGAAATCTTTAGTCACAAAGACATTTGATACCAAGCCCCCTTTGGAGCCTCTGGAGCCTCCAGAGGTTCACCAATTCACCATCTACACCCTCCTCAGTGGACCTCCATGATGTCTGGTATGTTGTTTGCTTCTAGACCTCCATTTTTCTAACTTGTTTAGTCTTGAAATTAAGGACTTCCTTCACACACACTTAAATTTTGATATAAGTATGAGGTGTTGTGCCCTCCTTTTTTTTACCCACCTTTTGGATCTGCAATTCCAGTGAGTATTTTCATTGCTACATGCCATTTTTTCTGATCTTGCACAAAGGGCATGAAGCTTAATCTATTGGACTACTATTCTGACCCTACCGATGATTAGGTGTCCTTGCCTCCCATGTACCTTCCTGCATTATCACCTGCTGCTATGGATTCTGAATACACGCAGGGAGGATATGTGCAGGAACAGTTTGGAGGTGGTCAATACAAGGATCTGCCAACAGAACTCACTCCATCAAGACTACGGAGCAAAATCAAGCCCACATCATGCGACGTTGGTATCACAAGGGATGCTGCTATCCAACATCAAGCAGCCTGCACTCCCAGTGACTATACCACTAATACCTTCGCATCTGGTAATTCTTATCAAAGATCTTTTCTCCAGATTTCTGACTTTGTCCTTGCTGCTAGAGTCGATGCACCCCAGCTGTCACAACTCTCCTTTCGTCAAGGCTGTACCTGCTCAATGCCCTGTGCAGACTCAAGATCTATTTTCTAGCACATTGGCACCCACTAGCCAGCAGCCACAGCTGGTCATGCCTCAAAATTTGGACATATTCACCCAGCAGCCCCAGTATGGCACTCTTGATCAAAACTCCATGGTTCTTTATAACCTTCTCACCATACCATCTGGAGTTTGGCCATTGTGGCCCATGCCATCATCTCTGATGGAACATGAGGCTCCCAGACTCTCCCCTAGCCCACTTGCTTCATATTCGCAGTTACTGACCTCACCACTTCTCATGCCTACAGTTGCAGGCCCAAGCTCTCAGGGAGGTTCACAGCCTGATATGCATGGGTCAGATGGGCCCTGGAATTTTTCATCTGTAGTATTGGCAAACTCTTTGCCACCTCAAGGAGCTGTTCCAACGATGCATATCATCCCACCAACTTCCCTCAAGCCTTTCGAGCTTTTTGCTCTACCTTCTGCTGGTGTGCCACATCACTGTGCAGTCACATTCAGTCCATCAGCCACTGGAATATCTCAAGTTGGGTCTGATGTTATGATGGATGATGATAATGCTCCCATTGCTGGTTGATGTTCATCAGAGATGAACTCTGCACTTGAAGAAGGGTGTGCTGCTTTGGATGCCATTGTCAATGATACTGCAAAGAACACGAATATGCCGTCCTACCAGTTAATCAACCTGTGGATGAAGAGTTGAGGTTGAGTGATCAATAGCACCAACTACTGGAATCTTTACACAGGGTACTTCAAGGACTGGATGCACCAGGAACTTGTAAGGCTTGGTAATGGTGCTCCTCCTCAGGATGGTTCAATGACACCAAGTAAGTGATTCATTTATACTGTGTGCTTTTTGCTTAGTGCCACATATTGGTCTTACAGGCACTGGTGTTTGCCATCAGTGCTATGAGCTCTTCAAGAAAAGCTACCCAGACACTTATCAGGACATCCTCAATACCTATGGAGAACTTGACATGCTGACAGATAATCAAACCATTGCGCAATGCACTCAATCATTCCAGAAACTTTATAAGAGGGTAGGAAGTATTGTGAGTAATCTCATTCCGATGTCTTCTTACTTGAGGTGTCTTATATAAAAGTGGTCAAAAGGCAATGACACCACAATTACACTTTTGATAAGACTGAATGCTGCCAACAACCTCAAGTTCATGGTCTACAACTTTTCTTCTTTTGTGGTAGATAATGCAGTGTTTGTGGGAGGTTACCTGCTATACAGCCTGGTGGTTTTATTCTACCTGGTTGTAAATAGGGGTTCTACAATACAAGCTTAGCTTTATCTGGCAAGACAGATAATGTAGAGTATGTAGATAGAACTTTATCTAGTCTTGAGTTTGACTAGACAAATAGAATAGATTCTGTAGGTAAGTCTCTCTAGTCCTATGTTTGACTAGATAGAGAATAGAGTTTGTGAGTGAGTCTCTCTAGTCCTATACTTGACTTGATATACTAAAGGACTTATCAAAGGGAACTAGGTAGAAGCTGATTGGATTTCCCTGCCTAAATGCAAAGGGTTTAATCCAAGGAAGATGATATGATAGAAGAGCAGATAATCCAACAAAGGAATCTGCAGGCACAGATAATATGGCTTGACTTGGTACTTCTAGTCCTCTGAAACTATATGTCAGATGCACACTAGACAGCACAGGTACAGTCAAGAAAATGATAAATGATCTCAGAGCAAGTAAACCAAATGTACTTGGTCTGCACTTCCTGGCTAACACAAAGAGTGTCAATGTCAGAGAAAGTGGAAGAAGTGGAGGTTCTTTTAAATGATAAAAGAGATTCTTATTTTTATGGGTGGAGAAGTGCTCTCCTTAAATACATGAGATGGGAGAAACTGTATAGTACCATGAAATAAGGTTGGAAAGAGAAATGACCTCATTGTGGAGCAAAGTGGAGCAAAAGTGGAGCCAAGTGGAGCAGAACATTCTAGCATCCAATGACATCACTATGACATCATAGATGGCTTCATAGTATCCAACAGAATATTCCAGAAATTTCTGTGGAGCTATATGACATCATCATGACATCATACCCTGCAGGTACATTTTGTGGAGTCTCTGGGAGGTCAAAGAATCAAGTAGGTAAAGAAATGAAAGAAAAATATGAAGAAAATAAAGTAGAATAAATCATAAGACAGAACAAATCAAAACACTGGCTTTTTAGATAGGGTTTTGGTAGGCTTTTATCTTTTCCCCTTGGTTATTTCTAGTCAAAGTAAATAAGCCAAATGATAGGCAATAACCTAAGCTTTTGTATGACCATCAACTTTGACCAGGTCAATTTATGATTTCTTCATCATATTTGACTTTTCTTCAACACACCATATTTTTGCATGATTGGAGCATGCAAAGTGAAATATTGCACTTGAGTCTGTACTCAAAGTACATTTTGTGTAGTCTGAGGACTAAGCTAACAGATGATGGAAACATGGGATGATATGTCATATACATGTTCTGCATGATTCCAAAATCATGCAGGATAGTGTGGCCCATTGAAGGTGGTTGCAAATTCAACAAAGATAAAAAACAATGACTCCAGGTCATCACTTGCTGTGTGTTGGATCATTGCACCCTTTGCAATACCCTCCTGGAGAAGACAAATTGACATATAGGGCCTAGTACCCTTCAGATAACACACTCAGCCATGTGCCATGCCATGAAAATTGTAAGTATCACTCACCATGCCCTCTGAAGGAACACTAATGGCACCTTCTGCAATAATGCAAGCATGATCAAAGTCAATAAAATAACCTTGTCCATCATGGATGATAAAATTATTTGGACTCAAGTCTCTGTGGAGGACGTGACTTGCGAGCATTAAACTATGAGCTAAACACTGATGGGTCAGTCTCAGGATTCAATTTCAACACACTCAAGACTCACCCAAGACAAAGTCATGGAAGGCTCTCAACAGCTCAAGCTTCAAGGAGTAGAACACAAGTGGTTCTCTGCAGGGGGTCAACAGAAGGCACCAGTGGAATCTGCAAATAAACCCAGAGGTACAAACACCATGGGAAGCTCAAATATGATACATGCAGTCTGGCACCCCATTGTAGAGGACATCCCAATGGGCCATGAGCTTGACTACATTCAGGATTCCTTCAACCATCTTGAGAATGGTCACCTTGTGGTTTTTCTTGTCCTCAGCGACCCAACAGTCTTTGAGTACATACTCCATCCCATCTGAGGTCTGAACGTGATAACAAATTGTGCCACAAGAAAAGAAACCTTGGCTTTGCCAAAGCATGCTCATGATTGATAGATGGGATTTATCATGGTTTTCTATCCAGCCTATGGTGTTCTCCCACAGATTGGCATGCAAGCCCTTGTAGGCAGGATCACACATATGCATCGTGGGATTGTACCCGAGGTTGTTGGTGTGTGCGAGTGTTAAGGTGTTTAAAACCTTGAGAAGATGCACAGGATTTTTGAGGATATTGATGGGGTGTGAAATGATCAGACCTGAGTGGTCAAAGTAGTGAAGGTGAAGCAGGTTATTGGTGATAGTAAAGATCAAGATGAACTGGCGCCAAGGTTGTTCTTGCATCAACAGGTACCCTTTAGTGCTGCTACCATAATACAAAGGTATGGAAGAGTCAAGTTCGCTTTCTGTGTACTCCATGCATGTGATAATATTGGACCATCGCAATGAGAGGTTGTGTAGATTGCAATCCACCAGAATAACATCTGGCTTCTGTACATTGGTGTCGTCCAGGATGGGAGTATTACAGAATTGGGAGGACCAAATACACTTTGGCGGGCCACCAATAACGTTCATGGCACCAAAGGGGAATGCAGCAGAGGGATTGGGGAAAATTTTCTTGTACATCACATGCATGGCAGCTTGCACAACATTGAAGAGGAGGGTCCACTTGCCCTCTGTCATCACCGATGCCTGAGGCTGCTTCTTGCTGGGGTGCTTGTCATCATATCCTTTGGCACTGAAGCTCTTGTTGGTATCAGGCATTGTGAAAGACGAATCCAATATCTCCACTTCTGTATCAGTCAACATGGCCGACACCATGCTCATCTGTGTGCATGGTTGTGTCTTTTGTGCCCTGCCTGCCTTTCATCCCTGTCCCTTCTGTACCTGCACCTTCTTCTTCTGTTTTCTGGAGTCTACCAACAATCTTGGCTGGACATTCCTGTTATCAAACAGCCATTCTGCATTTGTGCCACGGCGCACAGCAGGTTGAAAGATAGACCCACTCTTAACCCTCTTCCCTCCTGGCCCAGACTTGAAATAGTAAATTTTGTTGAGAGATGCTGGAGTGAAATTAGTCTGTAAGATAAGGGTATCCATAACAGACTTGGCATCTTTGGGGAGTAATTTTTCTTCCCATAAGACAGTGCCAATGAATTCTTCCTCCAAGAGCTTATCCATAGCAATCTTGTTCTGAGGTTCAGGGAGTGCATTGCAGGTACTGACCAATCCATAGAGGTGTTTACGATAAGAAGTTGTGCTCACTGGTTGTGGCAGTGGCATCATGGGAATGGTTGGTAGTCAAGTGGAGTAGTTGAATGGTTAAGAACATCTCACTAATTTTGGAAACACTTCTGTGTGCCATGTATGGGTAGCGTCATGTCATAAGTGACCTGGTTGAACACATCAACTAACCATACATCATCTTGTATTCATATGCCAAAATGTAATTTTGCATGATTTTTTTCAATGATTATCCCACACACCAAATTGGACATGAATCATGGTATATTTTCTATGTGCAGCAAGTGATCAGAACATTGTACAAAAGCATAGTATTGAGACAACAGACACCTTGGATTTACCTTGGAATGGCCCCTCCTTCAGATGATCCCAGTGTGCAAATACAACAATGGCTAGACACTTGTTAAAGTGCCTAACCAAAAATATTGTTGTAGGTCAATGCTCTGCCTAGCTGCTACACTTGCAAGCAAGAACATTTGACCCTAAAGGGAATTGCTACTGAGAATGGCCAATGATACTAAAGACCCAAAAGTGCGCAGAGTGTGGGAACAAGTGCACGGGTATGTAGAGCACAGGAATGTGGAAGTGCAGTTGATGAGCGGTCGATGAGCAGTCAATGCGGGAGTGTGAGATGCTAAGGTAAGGGGTAGGGAAGTCTTAAGGAATGGCGCGGGTAACAAGTGAGGGCAAGGGTATTGATTGCACAGGTAAGGAAAGTCAAGACAAGGTGTTCAGGTATAAGGTAACCAATAGGGGCTAAAAGCGCACACTAATGGCGACTGCTCCTAAGTAAAACCTAAGGGAAGGAAATACTGTAGAAGGGGAGTAAATATGAAGTAGTCACCCTAGGCACTTTATACTAGCTAAACCCTCTCGGAAATGGAAGGGACAGGACAGACAGGCAGTAGGAATATGTAAAGACATATAATAAGGCTGCAACACTTGTTACAACACATGAGGCAAGGCAAAATACATACCAATGAGGTAGGATGGACAATGGACTGACGTGAGACATTTGTAAGGTAGTCCAAAGGCATGGGAAATCGACCGCAGGTATGCGTGCAGCGCAGGAGTGAATGCGCGGGTCCGCAGAGCGCGGGAATATGCATCTGGAGTGGGTTGAGTGCAGGAAAAGCGGTTGATGGTTTTGTAGCTTTCCATCACCTATATCAAAAGATGGCCATTGCAAGCCTAGCGAGAATATGATTGTTACACCGGTGTGGGAAACACAACAAGAGAACTGGAAAGTAGACTGCTAATGTTGGGCTAAATGTGCTATGCCTAGCTGCTATTCAACCCTAAAGGGTTTCTGGACTAAGCTCAGTGCTCAGAGAGGATAGGAAATCATGCTAAAAGCTCTCAGTCTCAGACTGGTACTGGTAGGTGGTGAAAACTATGATGATTACATAAGCACCAAAAGTGCGAACATAACACTAAGTAATATCTGCCTATACAAGCCCACAGAATATGAAATCCCTACACTGGCACTGCATTGGCAATAGGACTCCTGCTCCCATGATGCCCATCTGTCCAAGCCTTGCGCTGATATGCATGCTGGTAGCCAACTTGACCTTCACGACTGGCTGGATGCATGTGTTCTCCACAGATGTCTGATGGGGGAGGTCTATGTGAACGGTTGTCTAGAAGTTCATGGTCTGTGTACCACGCATCATGATAATATGACCACCTATTCCCACTGGCATCACAATAACCTGGGTTCTCATAGTGAGGAGCATAAGCATATCCTGGGTAAGGTTCACCACAGTCACCATAATACAAATATTCCCTCTGATAAGGGTACTCTCCTCCAGGTCATGGTCGCCTGGCATATGCATGCTGGCCCAAGTCTTCATGGTACATGTATGCACCATGTAGTGCATCACTGGGGTGATAATCATCATTGGGGAGTGCAGGAGAGCTGTCTTGATGAGTGCACAGGCCACCATGAAGGTATCAAGTGTTGTGAGGCTTACAGGAGTGATTGTTGTGTGCCCCACAAGGGTCAACATGGCGAGGTTCTGGTGCATCAAGGTTAGAAATGATGGGGCTAGGATGAATATCCTCAGATGGGGCACATGGTAGATTTTGCAGTAGTGGGGGAGGCACATCTTGGACATGGCCAGACTGTCCATTACCACCTGTGTGTTCAGCAGGAAGTTCGGTTTTACATGGGGAAGACGGCGCTGCTGGAAGAATGGGTGCTTTGGTGACTTGCACAGAGGTTGAACAATCAACTGATGTCTCAGGCTGCACAGCTCTGCTATTACTCTGCAAGTCTTCATCTTCTTGCAAGAGGTGCATGGTCTTGGTGAGAGCAGATTGGCCTCCTTTAGTCACTGGGCGTGCACATTGCACTGGGCTTATCTTAGTAAATCTTCAGACATTTATGTAGAGCAAATACCTTTTGCAATGTCAGGATGTCCATCATGCAGGTGCATTGCTGCATTGTCTGTTTAATTATCAGTCAGGATCACTACTGAACTGAGATAACCATCAAGACTTACCTATAGCAGGTTGTGGTTGCTGTTCTTCATCTCCTGAGAACCCTACTGTGAGAGGAGATGAGTGCCCTCCTTTGGCACGAGCCTTGCCTGCGGCTTTTGCACCTGGCTTGTTCTCAATGGCCATCTCCTCCTCTAACCCAATTGGTCATACACGCTTCTTCATAGCTTGTACAACTCTGGTATCAAGCTTCCATGAATGTGAATGTGAAAAATCACCATAGTTGGCATTATCCTCGCTATGGATTTCACCATTGGATGAGTCAAGAGGCTCCTCATCAGGCTTCTCAACACCATCTGTACTGGACAGAATTTCTATGGGAGCTGGCACTGGTTAAGTAGGGAGTTGCTTTGCAAGCTTAAATGGATGTGATGGAGGAGGTATGAGTACCTCGGGATGCAAGTTGGTTTTCTGGATGGTTGTCATGGTGTCTTTGGCCACAATACCCATAACATCATCGTGAGTGTGTACTGACATGGGGACCTTTGGCTTCTTCTTCCTGGTAATGGCAGAGCTGGCTTGAAGGCATGGAGGGCCACCATAATCAAATGTTCCATTAACAAACATCCGCCTTGCATTTTGGAAAATAGAGTCTGCTGGAGGGGCCTTGCCAATGATGACAGGCTCCTTGGAGGCTATCACTGCACCTGTCAAATTATTATGAGCTAAAGTGGTCTAATAAGTGTATCAGCACATACCTCCTATGGTTTTGGTTACCTTAACAATGTGCATTGTCTTTGCCTTCAACAAATGAGCAAGCACATTGACTTCATGTTGTGTCAGTCCCGCAACACCTTTACTCCATGAATTGATGTTATGAGATTCTCCTGGCATCAAACTCAAGTGTGCAGGATACCCCTTGATGCATAGATGGTCATTAGTGAGGGAACTAGGCATCAGGATCCATGGGAAAGGTCTGTTGGCAAACTTCCCACCAAGGTCCACTGAGGAAAAAATGTCAGGACCTCATAAAACCATGGGACGTGATGTGCTACGTACCAACTTGCTTGATGAGACCAGCCTTCAGTGATTTCAACACATCCTTCTCCTTCTCTGACTCAGATGAGCTTACATCCAGGATCTCTATCAGCACCTGCTCTTGATCTCCTTCCATGCCCTTGAAAGCCTGCTCCACAGCAGACAGCAAGATGGTGTTGTACACATGCACTTTGATATGCCCGATGATGGCGTCATCACTAGCTCAGCAGCACTTTTTGAAAAACTACAGAGGTGTTAATACATAAAATACTTTCAAGGAGGGTAACACTTACACCACCAGTGCTGGGCATTGTGTGAACACAGCCTAATGATGCATCTTCATTGACAATGTTACCACACATGACAATGGTGGCCTCGAACCCTTGCCTAGTAGCAGCTCCATCAAGCTACAGGTAAGGTACTTAACTTATCAGAAAATATTACAGAATCGGTGTCCTGCATGATTTTGGAATCATGCAAAACATGTATATGACATATCATCCCATGTTTCCATCATCTGTTAGCTTAGTCCTCAGACTACACAAAATGTACTTTGAGTACAGACTCAAGTGCAATATTTCACTTTGCATGCTCCAATCATGCAAAAATATGGTGTGTTGAAGAAAAGTCAAATATGATGAAGAAATCATAAATTGACCTGGTCAAAGTTGATGGTCATACAAAAGCTTAGGTTATTGCCTATCATTTGGCTTATTTACTTTGACTAGAAATAACCAAGGGGAAAAGATAAAAGCCTACCAAAACCCTATCTAAAAAGCCAGTGTTTTGATTTGTTCTGTCTTATGATTTATTCTACTTTATTTTCTTCATATTTTTCTTTCATTTCTTTACCTACTTGATTCTTTGACCTCCCAGAGACTCCACAAAATGTACCTGCAGGGTATGATGTCATGATGATGTCATATAGCTCCACAGAAATTTCTGGAATATTCTGTTGGATACTATGAAGCCATCTATGATGTCATAGTGATGTCATTGGATGCTAGAATGTTCTGCTCCACTTGGCTCCACTTTTGCTCCACTTTGCTCCACAATGAGGTCATTTCTCTTTCCAACCTTATTTCATGGTACTATACAGTTTCTCCCATCTCATGTATTTAAGGAGAGCACTTCTCCACCCATAAAAATAAGAATCTCTTTTATCATTTAAAAGAACCTCCACTTCTTCCACTTTCTCTGACATTGACACTCTTTGTGTTAGCCAGGAAGTGCAGACCAAGTACATTTGGTTTACTTGCTCTGAGATCATTTATCATTTTCTTGACTGTACCTGTGCTGTCTAGTGTGCATCTGACATATAGTTTCAGAGGACTAGAAGTACCAAGTCAAGCCATATTATCTGTGCCTGCAGATTCCTTTGTTGGATTATCTGCTCTTCTATCATATCATCTTCCTTGGATTAAACCCTTTGCATTTAGGCAGGGAAATCCAATCAGCTTCTACCTAGTTCCCTTTGATAAGTCCTTTAGTATATCAAGTCAAGTATAGGACTAGAGAGACTCACTCACAAACTCTATTCTCTATCTAGTCAAACATAGGACTAGAGAGACTTACCTACAGAATCTATTCTATTTGTCTAGTCAAACTCAAGACTAGATAAAGTTCTATCTACATACTCTACATTATCTGTCTTGCCAGATAAAGCTAAGCTTGTATTGTAGAACCCCTATTTACAACCAGGTAGAATAAAACCACCAGGCTGTATAGCAGGTAACCTCCCACAAACACTGCATTATCTACCACAAAAGAAGAAAAGTTGTAGACCATGAACTTGAGGTTGTTGGCAGCATTCAGTCTTATCAAAAGTGTAATTGTGGTGTCATTGCCTTTTGACCACTTTTATATAAGACACCTCAAGTAAGAAGACAACATGGCTTCATGACAGATGAGGGCAGGAGGCCCTTGTGGGTTGATAAATTTGAGACCTCAGGCACTGATCCCTGGTTGGCAAAGCAGGGATATGTACTTGCACCTCGCAATGACTCGTCATTGATGGAAAAACTACTTCATTCTTTGCACCATTCAGTCAAATCATACAGGAGTGGTGTCATCTAATTCTAGCAGCAGCCAGTGACCCGAGCAACCCCCCTGTTGGCATAACTCATACAGTGCTCATGGCACTCCTGAAAAAATGGATCTCTCAGCTCCCCATGGATGCTCCCACAGAAATTATGGTGCCCATGGCATCATCATCAAGATTGGGACATCCTCCACATGACGACATCCAATCATCTGCAGGTGCTCATCATTCTACACGCATCCAACAGAGAGTGTCATAGCCCACAAACCCTCTTTGTTCTTCCCACATCCAAATGAGACAACCCTCTTCTTGCATGTCTTTTCTGTGTATGTTTTTCATTACAATGCATTTTAGTATGATACAGTGTAGTACACCATGTGTTATATGATAGATACCTTTCTGATCCAAATATCAATGATGGAGTGTTTGATACCCGTGCCTTCACTAGAGAGGTCCTAGGTACATAGGCAGGCACCACTTTTCTCCCATTCCCACAGTCTTAGAGACCTCATTTCTTTGTAGAGCGCAAAAGAGCACCATGGAGACAAGATGAGTAACAGGAGCACCAAGAGCTCCACAGGAGGTGAGAGGTCTCATACTCACACAGGAGGGTACATCTCACAGACTAGTTGCACTCTACAAAGAAACCAGGTCTCTAAGACCACAAAAGTGGTGCCAAGGGTGGACAAGACATTAACAGAGTTCTTTCAAGATACTGAGATTGTACTTGTTGTATAGACTCCTTGCCCCTCTTGCTCATCTCATAACAAGAGATTTTTCCTCCTCCAGATGTTGTTTGCTTGTCCCTCCTGTCCCCTCCACACAATCCATTCCAGTCTTGGACGAAGGATGATGGCAGATGATGCTGCTGGCTGAGGGTCACATCCATCTCAGTTTAGGTGGCGCATCATCACAAAAATTGCATAAGCGTGACATTGCCATATATAGGTATGTCTGCACTGTCAGCAATGTCAGGGTTAAGGTTAAGTATGCCTGAGCAGACTTGGAACCTGAAAAGTCCAATGGATGGGCCAAGTACAATGTATTCAGGGTAAATAGATTGATATCTCAATTTGATAATTCAGACATTGTAAATCACACAGAGATAGCAAGATAAAGCCTGATATTGAGTATCATTAAGAGAATACAGGTTATTCTAAAGGAATGCAATGTAAGGAAACTGGCATACTAGCAGGACATGTCTGAATGAGAGAATGACTGAGAGAATATGGAAAGCAATATCAGAAACAACAGAAGCACAACAGTGAAAGTCCAAGTGCAAGAATAATGGCCAATGATGCAATGATGAGGCAAAGTCCAATTTGATAGACACAATTGAGTCCAGAACAATAGTAAGAGTCTTCTTCCATGATCCAAAGGAAGCTCCTAGACTGGAAATGAAAAATCAATCATGGAACATATGAGTGACATCATAAGCATAAGACAAAATGAGCACATACTGACTTTTACTTCCTGCGGTGCAACACATGTTTGGCCTGGGGTCGACCTTTGGTTGGCTTGGCTGGTTCCTCATCCTCGTTGTTGGATTCCTGTATAATGCAGTGCATAGTCCTACCCCAGGCCTGGCCATTTGGCATTTTCTTCTTTCCCTTTTTGATGGCACTGACATTGTCCAAGTTGTTGTTGTTTGACAGGTCATTGTTCAGTGTCAGTTCACTGCCTGCAGGCGACTTTGGCAGGATGGGGGCCTTCTGCAAGGGTACGGGTCCGGGAGTGGGCACAGGAGTGGGTGTGGGAACATGTCTGGGAGTGGGAATGGGTCTGGGAGTGGCAGAACTTTGAGGTGGAGTTGGGATCAGGTTAGGATCTGGTGTTACAGGTTGTCTGGCAGCATTAGTGTGGTTGGCCATTTGTGCTCGCATCTTGGCAAGACTGTTGACTGGACCTGAAGACAACCCAGACACATTGTCATCGGTTATGGCTGTTCTGCCCTTGCGTCCATTATTGTTCTTGAATGATGCCCTTGATAGAAGTAGATAGTTAGCTAAATTAATGGAACAGAGAAAAACTTGTTCCACCATTTAAGAAGTCCCTGCACCCAATCTCAATCCTCGCACTCACAAATAAAGTTGATAATGTTGTAGTAAAAGGCCCGGTAATTTAATTCACCATCGGCTTCAGCCCATTTGTTTTTATTACTGATTGCGAAGCATGCCTATGTTAAAACAATTAGTTAGATACAATCCATTAAATAAACAAAAACTTACCTGAACACAAGCATATGCTATATGTTCCACCTTGACAGTAGACATATCATGCAGGGATGCATTGCACGATCATGTACTGTGCAAGTCATCACCTAAAGCAGTGGAAGGACCTGTAAAAATATGATGCATTATCTGGTAAATCAAAATGTTAATAAGATAGACACATATAATGAATTTCAAAACTTACATGCTCAAGGAAATAACCCTGGAATAGGCCCTCATTCATGATGTCCTCATCATACCTACTTCCAGGAGGCTTTCCAGCCCACAGGAACACTGGAAAGTCGATCAGTCATATGAATCCATCCGATCTCCATCCATTTCCAGGCCCTATGTTAGAGAACATTAGATGATTGGAAATGACAAATTGAGTACTTACAGAATGGGATCTCATTTGAAATCTGCAAGTGTGGAAATAGGACATAGGAAAGAAGCAAGCACAGGGTGGTTGATGCCCATGTGCGCCCTGGACAGTGAGCCCCCATTGTAGATGGTAGGCTTCAGACCTTCCTTCAAAGGTTCGGGCACCACGTAGTGTCCGATTTGGACCTTCAAACAAGTTGCATCATCAGAACGTGTCCCACTAATGACAGCATTCATCTAATTAGTATGTTAGTACACGATATATGCACATATAAGCAGCATATACTCACCTTGTGTGTGATCTGAAAGAGATCCTTGGACTTCAGGCGATCAGTAATAAGTGATCGGAGTCCCAGAGCCAGTTGAAGCAACTGCTGATAGTTGCACTTGTACCAATTGAGGGTATTGGTTGAACTAAGAAAAAAATCTTAGTATAGACTTTGCAAAATTAAAAAAACGGACTTACAGACTCACAAGCCTTTTCTGATGGGATTCATGCTCAGCCTCTGACTCTTCTAATTCTCCATTCTCCGCGGCCTGCTCTTGCTGTAGGAGTAGACCTATCCTTAAGAGTTTCTCAATGTTGCAGAATAAATTGACACAATGTGCCATGGCACGTGCTGCCGCAAGAAACTCTTCTTGGACTTCGAATTCTGAGTCCTCCTTCTCTTTCGAGATC